ATTGGAAACTAGTGGCAGCAAGAAAAGAAAGCAGTAAGGGGAAAGCATTGATGCAATTATACACAGCCAGGCCATGTTTTTATGAACTTTCATGATGCAATTGTGCTTTTCTGTGTGATCTGCAGGGTGAATAGTAACAGCACAATTAGCTGATTCTGACAGCCAGAGAGAAGATTGATAGTTTTGGGGAAACAGAACAAACTGGGGATGTTAGGCAGCAAGAAAAGAAAGCAGTAAGGGGAAAGCATTGATGCAATTATACACAGCCAGGCCATGTTTTTATGAACTTTCATGATGCAATTGTGCTTTTCTGTGTGATCTGCAGGGTGAATAGTAACAGCACAATTAGCTGATTCTGACAGCCAGAGAGAAGATTGATAGTTTTGGGGAAACAGAACAAACTGGGGATGTTAGGGGACAAATTATTTAACATGCTGGAATAGCAAACTGCTTTTGGTTTTATGCATTTTTTGTATCTATGTCTCATACAAACCAATACAAAAACCTGTACAGGAGTACTATGCTGAATGATTAAGCTGCTTTTCTCATGATGTGATCGAGTTACAACCCAATCCCCAAGATAAAAGCACCTAAAAAATGAAGAACTTCTCCCTATTGGCATCAGATACAGCACTACTATATTAAAAAGTAACCCATTAAAACAACTGTAAAAACTCTATTAAAAGGCAACATTGTCATCTAAAGAGTTAATTCATCTAGACAAAATCACTAGCAGGATTTGCTTTTCTGTTTTCTGCAGAGGAGTCAATGAACAAACAAAACAACATAAGAAACTCTGATATTCTCTCCATCTAACAAAAGGAATGGCATTTCCCTTGCAAAGGAAATTCCTCATTTTGAGCAGAGGAAGTCGAAATTAATCCGAAACCCGAGGAAATCACTCTGCAATTTGCACACAAAAATGATGGGTTTGTTTCATTAACCGATGCCTGAAAACAACACTTAAATTGACACATAAAACCAGCAATTGTCTTAATTTGTGCAGTGCACTCCACACAAAAGCCCTAAATATGTTCAAATTAGAGCAAGCTGCTTGATTGTCACTGCAGCCTCATGTCATATTAATGCATGACAAACATTAAACCATACACTTAAATGGCAATTTATATCATTTAAATGTTTACTGCCACACCGGATCATCACTCATTTAAATGTGACTTTCTGACAGCTAATTTCGGTTAATTTTCCTCGATTCACTTAATTAGAACTTTCAATCAAGAAAAGACCTGTGTGTATCTTTGACATCGTATCATTCTGTTTTTTTATTATTACTTTTATTAGGATACTGAATTGGTGAAAACATCCTGTAAAATGAATTACCTCACAGGATGGAATCTCTTTTGCATGATCCTATGGAAATACCTCACAACACAGAAGCTTAGATTTTTTCATTCTTTCTTTCTTTTCTTTATTTTCCTTAATTTAAAAAACACCCAACACTTCGACACAGACACACAATTAAACCCATAAAAAACCACAAGCAGGCCAATTAAAAATTAATGATTTCAAAATTGTTTAATAAGATAAAACCAGTCAGGAGTCTCATGAGTGTCCAGAACACTACAATGTGCAGCCATAAAATTAAAAAAAAAAAATGATAAGAATTAATTTAAATGTAATCCTGCTAAAAAAAAAAAAAAAAAACCACCCAAAAAATCAACAAACAAAAAACCAAAAAAACCCAAACCAGATAATTAACCCTCGAATATACTCACTGCTATCATTATATCTATTTCATGCCAGGAAAAATAGTGTTGAGAACTTGTGACTTTTTTATAGCAATATATATGGGTATTTTGTATATCTATTATCTACCTATATATGTGTGTGTGTGTGTGTATA